ATGATGTTGATGAGTTGATCCAACATTAAAATGTGAAAAACAAATTTCACATTTTCGCAAAATACGTATTTTTGAAACCTTTTAACACCGTCAAGAATTACTATTTGACCAATGATCGAACATAATTTAATAATCAATATATATACTATTCTGGTCAAATTTGTAATTAATTGTGAGCAAAAATAGAAAACGTTACTGTGATGGATGCTATTTAGGATATGCTTAATTATATATCACTTCATGTCTTCATTTGTAATTGGGGCTGGAATTTTTTCCCCACTCCCGATCCCGACAATCCCGATCCCGACTAGTCGGGAATTTTTCCCGATCCCGACTAAGTCGGGACGGAACCGGGATTATTTTTCCCGATCCCGACTAGTACGTACTAGTTTGAATTTGAGATATAATAATTACAATAAATTTTATAAGTAGATGATGATACATATGGTATAATAATGACTAAAGAATAATGTTGAAACCACTAAATATCAAAGTTAGTGTTTAACTAAAGAAATTACATAATTTTATGTTTGATACTTCATTGTTGGGATTAAGCGGGAATCCCGATCGGGAACCCGACTTAATCGGGATTTTAATGTCAGGATCCCGACTTAATCGGGACGGGATACGGGATCCTCTTGTATTTTGAATCGGGATCGGGATTTTGGCAATCGGGGTCGGGATCATCCCGATCCAACCCCTATTTGTAATCATAATTTCCATTTATTCCGATCGCACGTGCACCGATACGAGAACGCGATAACCGAAAATACGGAAATAGACACGGAGATACAACAAAATAAAATGAGAAACAAGTCAAATAGATTAGTTAAAATAAATTCATGTATTTTCCTCTCGTCATTCATTCATTCAACTATTCCACATTACGAAGATAGTTAAAAAAATAAATTCATATTCTTTATTTTATATATGTTCATGCATGATGCATCTTGAAATATAAATGTAGTACTAATATCAAATGATAAACAAGTCAAACAACCATAATTTTGAAATCAATATTACATGAACCCAAAGTTCATAAATAGAAATTGCTCCATGAAGATACAACACAATAATCTAATTAAAAGACTAAGAGCTCATTTGGTGACTCTGTTTTTTTGTTTATCGGGCTTATCAACCAACTTTTTAACCAAACACGTAACTTTTGATTTTGTGCACTGAATTATGTAATGATCAGGAAAAGTAAGGTTGAAGTTATTTTTGTAGCTATATTGACAAGAGTTACTTTGGGTGATCATTTTAACTATTTTTTCATATTGACTGTATTTTTAATTATAATTTTTTCATAAATCAGCATAATCAACCAATAAAGTAACTTCAGCGAGAACTTCATAAATTTCAGCAGAATTAGCTGATTCAGCCAATTTCAGTTTTACCAAACGAGCTTTTAATTTCCAAAATTCAAGAATTCATTTGAATGTATTCCCGATTGAAGTTTTAGCTAACATTTGGTATGAGTAAACTAGATTTAATGAATAAGATGTTCAAAAAATTCATCAAAAAATTCCTCCGGGAACCGCTCAAATGGCGACGGCCGGATAGAGACTCCTATTAAGGGCTTATTTGACCTTTTTTGTTAGTATGTGAGATTATTTGTCCCTTTTCTCTATCTTTTTTCATTTTGTAGATTATATATTAGTGTCATATGAAAGATCATAAAATTTCATGAATTTTGATATTTTTTTGAAAAATTTAGAGAATAGATAAAAAGTTATAAGAAATTAAAACAATTTTGGGATTATAATTAATCTCTGTGATGTCATCATGACGTCAGCCGAACATCCACTAGTCATTTTCTTTTCTTTTTCCTTCTTTTCCCGTCAACCCATCATCTGTTTTTACACCTCTATCCTCTTTCCCACTTTTAATCCCTTTTTGATCCTCCACTAGTCCACTACGCCAAATTAAGAGTAAAAAATATCCATCTTTAGGGGTGTTTGGATCTGATTCTTAAAACTGCTTCTGCTCTTTCAGGGAGCAGAAACAGAAGCCGAAGTGTTTGGGTGAAAGTGCAAAAGTGATTCTGGTACTCAAATTTACTCCTAGAATCAATTTTTTTAGAAGTTGGGGGTGACCAGCTTCTGAAAACTAATTCTGATTCTGCTTCTAGTTTAAAAAAGAAGCAGAATCAGAATCAGTTCCAAACACCCCCTTAATCTTTTGACTCGAGAATGCTACACCATTACAAATGGTTTAACCTCTACAAATGTTTTGCAGTCCAAAATTTCAAATCACGCGTATCATTACGAGGGAATGTCGGATAGGCCTGGGACCGGTTCGGTTCCTAGGCAAAATATGTGGAACCGTTTGAAAATATGAAATTTTACTAACGGTTCGGTTCTTATAAATTATTTTATAGAACCGATAAGGAACCGAACCATTCTTAACGGTTCGGTTCTTGTCATTTAACGGTTCCTAGTCTTTGAAAAAATTCTTACAAATCACGACTAAATTTTTGTCAAAAAGACATTCAACGTTTGAAATTACAAAACAAATATGTTGAACCAGTTAAAGAGAATAATAGTTTTAAATAGTTTGGACCTTCCGAGTTCCGACCCGCTCGAGTTTGGACCTAATGAGAGGCCTAAGAAGCCTAAGAGAACCGGTTGAAGTGAATAATAGTTTTAAATAGTTGAATAACTAAACTAAAATAATGAATGGAATATAAAAATAAATAAGTAAATATACATAAAATATATATACTCGTAAGAAATATATATAATTTTAAATATTATATATAACGGTTCCTTAACGGTTCCTAGTACATATTTTTTTCAGGAACCGAGAACCGAACCGTTAATAAAAAATAGGAACCGAACCGTTAACAAATAACTAATAAATGTTGGAACCGAACCGAACCGGGTCATAACGGTTTGGTCCGGTTCGATTCTCCGGTTCTTGGTTCCAAAGTCCCAGCCCTAATGTCGGATAAGAGCTGAAAGTTTCTTATCAAATTTGTTCAAGAATGCATGAACGACACACTACAAATGGGAGAAATGAAGTCTTACCCCAAACCATTAATGAGAAAAGAGTATAGGAATTATTCTTCGTTTCCACGTGTGAATAGCTCCAAAAGCATTATGTGGAAGATCCAAAATATCATGAAAATGTGTCTTCTAAAAACATTAATGCTCTGCTATACCGATAGCTGATTTATTAACTTGGAACCGAATGAGTTTATTCTCCCACCGGATGACTGCTTTTTCAAAATGTAGAAGAGTCCCTTTCTAAAAGTTCAGAAGAGCCATGTCACTAGTTTACACTTTCACCTCCCTTATCTTGTCGATGTTTAAGCTTTTTAGATCAATTATTTTACACTTTAAAAGCCCTCATTTTAATCTTCTAAAAATCTATTAAAATGGATTTTAAGCTTGATGAAAACGGCACTTTAAAATAAGTTAAAAACAACCCACTAGTTAAGTACTAAACTTTAGAGTAATCACATTTTGTGTGCTGTTTTTTATTCACCACTATTTCAACATAGTACCTCTTAGAGTAATCATGTTGGTCATGCAGCAAACATGTTGACCACAAGTGACTGAGCACTGAACTTCTTGATTAAACTGCTCAGCTATGTTCCATTTTATAGTAGTTTGCACCTAGGGTCATCAAATGGTGGTTAACCCCTTGTGCACTGTAAGGTAGCAGCTTGTCACGGACTTGTTCCCTAAACAAGCTCAAGACGAAAAGTTCATGACAAGCTGCCCGGATAAGATGAAAAGTTGATGGCAACTGGCAAGCTGCCCAGTTTCCCATTTCATAAAAAGGTAACTAGATGTACAACTTATGATTGCAAACAATTAAGCTAAACACGCGTACTATTTAGTAGTGCATAAACACCACATTTTAGAATGGTTTTGCATTATGTTTACTTAACTTTTATACAATTACGATGTAATCTTTATCTTCTAAAATTAAAGTAGAATTAGAAGATATTTAAGATATTTTGACATGTAAGCAAAAACATGATGAAAAGAAGAGGAAGGAGCTTGAGAGCATAAGGAGAATTGGACTATTGGAGACAAGAGGAAGCTTCATGGAGGACAAAGAAATGTGAAAAATCGGATATGATTTGACCCGGAGATCATAAGAGATCAAATAAATCAAGTGAACATGGGAAAATCAGATTATGTCTTAGACCCAACCACCTCACTTCTCCTATAAAACACCCCTTTTCTTCCTATTTTAGAAACGAATTAATCCCCTCTTTCATATACACATTATTCTTGTACTTTAGGTAGTCCTTTGAGCTTGGTTTTGCTCTTGAAACTTGTTGATTATTAAAGTTGTGAGTTATTTTCTTAACTTCTTCCCTTGAATATTAATTCTTCTCTTAATCTATCTCTATATTAATGTTGGGGAGTGTTGCTTAGATGACAATTAGTTAACATCTCGACATTAATTACTACTAGAAACGATCAATGAACCGATGGTTAATCGTTAATGGTTTCACAAGTAACTTCGGTTTATTAATGCACAGTCGTGGTTAATAAACTTAAGAGAAATTAATTGTGTTGGTTAAACCGAAACCGTTGTGTTGAGAACTTGAGGTTATCAATCTCAATTGATTTCATCAAGGAATTAAGAAATTAATGCTACTATCAAGTCGGTGTATGACGGTGCTCTATACTTGACTAATAGTAAGAGTTATTAATGAACGGTCTTTGTTAATAACTACTCTCGATGAATTGGAGATAGTCCTCGATTGAGTATTCGAAAGGGGATTAGTTATAGATATAACAATGATCGACTAAAATATATCAACAAGTGGAAAGTAGCAAAACCAAGGTTGATTACCTTTGATATTTTATTTCCCTCATTTTAGTATTTTATTTTCTTTCTCAATTATCAAAATTTCCAATTCCCCCTTCCGTTTACTTTTATTAATTACGCTTACACATACGCAAAAAGCATCTTTCCCTGTGGATACGAACTCTACTACGCTATACTATGGTATTAGCCCTTAGTAGTGAATTTAATTTGAGGCACACTACGACAAAGTGCTCGTCAACATTTTCATTTCATCTTCTTATATACATAGTACCTTGTTAGAAAATAAAAAGGAAAAATTGAAAATAATAATCTCAACTATTGCCGGTCCGCTGAAAATAATCCCAACTATTGATTATTTTTGTATAATCCCAACTATATAGACTATCCGCCAATAATGGTCCATGACCATATATTACCTCTATAAAAGTGAATTCTAAATAGAAATTAAGCGTAAAAATTAAAAGTTGAGATTATTTAGAGGGATTACTTGTTATATCTCACCCCATCCACTTTAGAAACTACAAGAATTTATTCATAGGGACCATTATTGGTGGAAGGTCCCTAAAGTTGGGATTATTCTGTAATAATCAATAGTTGGGATTATTATGAGCGAACCGCCAATAGTTGGGATTATTACTATCAATTTTTCCAAATAAAAATCAAATGGAAGAATAAAGAAAGAGCTATGGGCATTGGGCCTTCGATCAGGATTTTAGGACGACTGGATGAGCATTTTGGTATTCAACTTTTCATAGCCCTTTGTGGATTAACTTTATCCACAGACACAGTCAGACTCTAGGCTAGATCAAACTGGTTCCACTGTTCTAATAATCACAGACCCCACAGAGACCATAGCCCAACTGCCCCAACATCACAGATAATAGGATCTTTCACATACAATAGTTACATGATTCAGAGAAAGGTCCAAGAGATATAGAGTAGTATACCTTCCCCGGAAAATGCTACACTGATCTTGTTAGTCATTACTGTCCCATAAGGTCATTTATGCTTACAACAATATGGATGGGAAAAGCAATCAATGGCATGTAATAGCTTTCTCCTAGGACCAACAGCAAACGAGCCCATGTCTTTCAGCTTTTCCATTGTCAAACTCGCCAGCTGAAATTTACTGACGTTATTACCCCGAAAAATCTTTATAAAATGACCACCAAGTCCTAATGAAACCAACCAATTGGTCAGTCCACCAGCACTGCGGAGCCTTCTTTCGATATTAAGAGCCTTCATTCTTTTGTTCATCATTGAACCCCCATTGGCATTGATTAAATGTTGCTGAGTTACTTTTCTCACGAAGCTTGTTCTAAAACTAGAAACCTGTGGATATTTCGATCTCATCCTTAATTTTGATGGTTTCTGGAATTGCAAGGTGGGTTGAGGCTGTACACACATGTGTTTACTTGCCACTAGTATGGACTTCTCACATTCAACAACCGTTCGATTCTCTGTGTGGATTCCCACTGGAGTAGTATTTCGGGAATTGTTAGATTTTCTTGGTGGTTCCTGCAGAGGGCTTTCTTGACTATTAGCCGATATAGACTGCTCAGAGGCAGGAACCAGAATAGTGACTATCTGTTTCTTGACCATCACCCAACCATCTTCAGCTAGCTGCTCATCATCCAGAGCATCTTTCTCGTTTGAACGTGAATTTTCCATTAATTGAAAAACTGCCAAACATCAGAAATATAATAAGAACAAAAGGTTATAGAATAAGTAGGATAATACAAAACACAAGATGACAACGGTATTCAATATTCAAAGATCAAGGAGAAACATTAAAGATTTAACTGTAAATGACCTTACGGATCAGTTTGGGAGTTAGTTTTTGGAGGATTATCAGCATAAACCTTTTGAGGACTAAGTGTATTTCTCTTGATATACACTATGTATTTGATATTTTATGAAAGATGAAAGATGAAAGAATGACATAACTAACAATAAAACAACATTTTAATGACCATTTATTCGTTTTGGAATCATTATCAAATGACCTCCCCCCCACTAGCCCTAAAAAAATCTCCATCCAAACAGACCCTTATAGTAATTACTAACTCTAAGTTTTTGAAAGGGTTTTACTACATCAAAACAATGGAAAGCCCAAGATAGGAATAGAACACTTCAACCCAGAAAGATATGTTGCACTTCTGACAGCTGGTGATTCACCAACACAAATACGGCTTATTTTTTTCCTTTTCTGTTTGGAAATGCTGTATAGATAGTACAATAATTGCCATAAATGGTCATGACAACATCTATGATATGATTGCAAAATATCCTGTCATTAAATTCATATAACCTGACCATTATTCCTTTTTTAACCCATGTTTCACATCAGAGGCAAACCATGTGTAGCTACAGCAAGTTATAATAGCCGATCCTATTTGCAATATTAATACCATTGGTTGACACGGATCAACGTCCCATTGCTCGAATAGCTACCACTAAGCACAACATAAATCTAATCTGCTGATGAAATCGTATGGAAATATAATCATGAGGAACCTCTACCTAGAGTACAAAAGGAAGCGCCAATTGAAGAAACTGTCAGAAATATCTAATTTGAATGAAATTCATCAATTGAACCTTCCTAAAGTGGTACCGACGAGAGAGGTTAAATGCATCAGGACATGCCCGTCAACACTAGAATACGACGATACAGTTAATCCTAGCATAAGTTGCCACTTAAAACTCGAACATTAACGAGAATGACTTGAAACGGATTACCTGTGAATGAGCTGCCACCGTCGGCGAAATTGCGAGATCGAGAGGGGGGCCACCGGGAAAAAGGTTTGGTTTGAAATGGCGTTGATTTTGTGAAACGTAACCGAGCAGATGTGGACCAAAACGGTTTAAGCTTGGGCCTTCACAAAAATCGAATAGTATCTGATCAGTATACTTGTTTGAAGGCCTGCCATGAATTTTCCTAACTTCTTTGCTCTTGGGTCTTACTAGGGAAGTAGGGAAGACGATGGAGGCAGGGACCCCATTTCGGATTTTAGGATTCTGTGGGCAGGCCGTACAATAATTTTTGAAATTTTAAAATAGGATTTCTTATATTTTTATTTACCAAATATGATATATTTGCGTCATAATTGAAAAGGATTGTCTTTAACGAGAATAAATACCGACATATTAATGCCTAATGCTGTAAATATTTTGACAGTAATGACAATAAATATGACATGTTACTCCTATTTTGGGAAAAAACATAGTAATTCTATTGTTTCGAGATTTTTTTCCAAATATATTTTAGTAGTCCAATATTTACTAAGATTGTTTAATAAAAGTGTGTTTTAAAATGGTTTAAAAATCTCAAATATAATATTTATGGACTTACTCCTTACTACCACTCACACTCTCACCTTACCCCACTACCTCCCACCCCACCCCTATCCTGAATGGGGTTTCAGGCCCCAGAGTACGTAGTAGAAGGTGGGGACAGAGGTAGGGTGAGAGAGTGGGGGTTAGAGTGGAGTAGGGTATGGGTAAGCATGTTAGTGGGGTTAGGGGCAGTGGGAGGTTAAGGGTGGGGCCGGTGATGGAGGTAGATGGAGGGTGGGGTATGGGGTGGAAGAGAAGATGGTCTCGGGTATGGGTGGGGTAGGGTGGGTCGGGTGGGGGTCAAGTTGGTATTGGGGTGGGGGTATAGGTGCTGAAGACTTTCATTATTATGGGATGTAAGGAAGTGTATATTTGTCAATATGAAAAGTTTAACATGTCACCTCGTAAAATACAAAATTGAGTGCTTACTAAACACTCATTTAACGGTGAAACTAATAGAGAATCAAATATTTCCTTAAGTGTTTGATACAATGACTTTATAAGAAATGTAAAGTGTTGTCAAATATGTAAGTCGTGTTATACAAAATGTAAATTACGTGTGCCAGATACAAAAGTGAGTTTATACAAAATTAAACTGCTAATGTCAAATACAAAAATCATATCATACTAAGGGGGTGTTTGGAGTGTTTGGGTGAAAGTGCAGAAGTGATTCTGATGCTCTAATTTAATCCTATAATCAGTTGTTTTAGAAGCTGGGGGAGATCAGCTTCTAAAAACTGATTCCGATTCTTCTTCTACTTTACAAAGAAGCATAAGCAGAATCAGTTCCAAACACCCTGAATATAAAATTGAGAAAAGGGTCAAATAAGGCCTTCTACTATTATGAAATCGTCACATAAGGTCATGTACTCAATAAAGTGTCATATAAATACGTCTACTTATAAAAAACAATCGGATGAGTCCTAATGACCCGTTGACAACCTCTTAATCCTGATTTCAGCCTACGTGTCAATTTTTTTGCTTGTAATTCAACCAATCTTAGGTACATATTTGACGTGTGCTATATAATCTATTATAAAAAGATGGTTTCAAGAACACTAAAATTGGGATTAGAAGGTTGTAAATAGGTCGTTAGGACTTATTTGATTGTTTTTTACTAGTAGACACATTTATCTGACACTTTATTGAATACATAGTCTTATGTTACGATTTCATAAATTTTGTGTGTCTAAATATAACCTTGTTTGGTTTCAAATATGAACCACGCGAGCTAAAAAAGAATCAAGTGAAGCTTGCAGAAATGTTAGACTTTCAAATACAAGTACAGATCTTTACTTTAGATTAGTAAAACTTCATTTTTGAATTGAATAGAGTAGGAAAAAAATCATACTTAATCGTAATTTAATTTGAAGACGAAGAAGAATAAAATCGTGATTAGATTCTTAATACATGAGGAAGGCGACAAAAGAAGAAAAACGCCAAAGGGGTTGAAGAAGAAGAAAAACGGGTAATTAGGGAGAAAAATGGGTAATTTTTTATGGAGTTGGAAAGTTCTAGTAATAATTCGCTAACGGTCAAGTCCATTTACCGCTTAATATCAACGACCCGTTGACTGCAGATGAAATACTGCCGTACGATCTGTTGGTCCAACAGATAAAATATAGGGAAGTGTACAATACATTATACTCTGGACTGGATACGCCAGAAAAGTTGCCAATTACCGGGAAAATAGGGACTGGGTCCGAAACGACTACTCCCCAGTTCACGATCGCCATTAATGGTATATATACTGCACCGTCAGATCTCCATTTTCAAACCAAAACCGGTCATCACACGCGTCCAGCAGCGCACAAACGGAAAAAAGAAATCTTTAATCTCTCTTCCATCGTTTTTATTTTTCAAATCTTTCCTCCCCCTTCCATCTCTTTCGTCCCTCGATTTTCTGAAATTTTCAGTTTCGGGAACAAATCTTTGGACTGCTTTGCGTTTCCCGGGAGAATTTCACATCAATTTTCTCTAATTCCCAGCTAATCTTCCTCGTCCTGCTTCCTTCCAGGTATATATGTTTTCTTGCTCAATTGATGTTCCGTTTATAACCTCTCTGGAATTTAGGGTTGGTTTGGCATGTATGATGTAGGGATTCATAGGCTTCGCGTGTATTTTGCAGGGATTCTCATTCTGATTGTGTATCGTGGTTGAGGATTGGGGAAATTGGCTTATTAGTTGAGGGACATGCGTTGCTTATAATTGAATAGGAAGGGGTGGAGCTATGCTGTATATGGTTTCCTTCGGCTGATTTTTTTGTTTTTTTATATTGAAATTTATAAAAAAAAGTTTTGGGGGTGTGAGTGATCGATTGATTTTGCCTTGCTCTATGGATTCTGAGAATGCGTCTCCAATGTCATCCAGTCCGGTCAAATGCTGTGATTGTGGCTGCATCTGTTCAACGATGGACGGATCTTTCTCCAGTACATTGGCCCGCAACACCAAACGCAAGTACCAAGAACATGATATCATCTTACCTCACACGGCACGCATTGACATTGAAAACGAATGTGCTGCCCTTCGTGAAATGGTCAGCAAGCAGCAACAGACGATCATGGATCTAAGCATAGAATTGGAGAAGGAGAGAAATGCATCGTCTTCAGCTGCTAATGAAGCAATGTCAATGATCCTTAGGCTACAAAGAGAAAAGGCAGAGATTCAGATGGAATACACACAATTTAAAAGATTCACTGATGAAAAGGCAGTGCATGACCAATACGAAATAGATGTGTTGGAGGACTTGTTGTATAAAAGGGAGCAAACCATTCAATCTTTGACATGTGGGCTTCAAATGTACAAACACAGGATGCTAAGCTTTGGGCTGACAGAGTCTGAAGCAGATGGGGAGTGTGACAACAAAGGAAGGGACTGTGTGACTTCTGATGGAGAATTTGATGTGACCTCATATGATTACCCTCCACTGAAATGCTTGGATGAGGAAAATCAAGTCTACACCGACGTTGAACATGAGGTTGTGGATGTTGAGAAGTATGCATTTGGGGAGACCCCTCGGTCTCACATTCATCTTCGAGATTTGGAGTGTAGGATCAACCAACTGGAGAGGAGCCCTACCATCAATCACCCTGATGAGAAAGTCATCATTGACCAAAGATCTCCTCTCAGGCCTAGACATTTGAGGAAGATCTCAATAGGTAGTGAAAGGGGTTGTGAATTCACAACTGAGTCTCCGAAGCTTAAATTTCCACAGACGTATGAGTATTCCAACTTGAGGAAAGTTGATAACAATGCATCCGAAGTTGAAGATGACATCATGAGTGACAGAGTATACACAATTGACTCCATTCATCAGAGCGTCTCACATAATGATGTGAAGCCATCTGTTGGAATAGGGGGTGATGGTTTTACTTCGTCACCTAGGGATTCATTGAATTATACGAATATGGAAGATCCGGATATCAAGAAACTTTATATGAGACTGCAGGCACTTGAGGCTGATAGGGAGTCAATGAGACAGTCAATCATTTCAATGAGGACTGATAAAGCACAGCTGGTGTTGCTGAAGGAGATTGCACAGCAGTTGTGCAAAGACATGTCACCAGCAAGGGGAGCACATGTGAGGAAGCCATCTCCAGGAGTGTTTTCATTTACTTCAATATCAATGGTATTTCTAAATTCTAATTATCTTTCACAATTTCATCTGCATACATTTTTTTTGTTTCAAAATTTTACAAAGTGTCTACCTCAGAATATTGGCATTTCATACTCCCTCAGTCCCACAACTAAGTTCATATTTTGACTTATTGTGTCAAAATTTGTTAACTTTGACCATTATTTATTCAAAAAATCATATTACTGTATGACATGAATCTAGTTTTGAATATTTTTTAATGTATAGTAATGAAATATTACTTTAATATAGATTTATATGTCAGTGTGAACTTAGTTGCCGGATGGAGGGAGTATGTTTTAAGAATTTTTACTTGCCTGATGAAGCTTAGTGGTAATTAGATACGATGTTTAACTAATAATTGAATTGTTTAAACTTCTCTAAATATACCTCATTTCAGAATAATAAAAGATGAACGAATGAGTGCATATATCTGTTATGCTAAACGTACCTCAAGTGTTACGTAGATTCTCTACATCCCCTTATTCAGAAGTCAGATTTGTAGAGCATAATAACATGTAATGTAATCACATACTCCGTGACTCCCTTTGCTAGTGTGAATTTTTAGACTGCACATGCATTTGATGAGATATGATTAGGTCTTACACTCTTACCAATTTGCACCTAGAATCAGGTTTCTACTATTTTTGTAAAGAAGTTTGTAGGACTTTCGGGAAATAATTAAATCCAGAACTATTTCTTTTTTTGAAGATTCTCGCTAGTGTGTACATTCCCTATTTCTTTTTTAGTTTTAGGTTTTCTGGCATCTTGTCTTGATATATTCTTACATCTCATCTAATTACTTATCTATTTTGTGATGTTCAGTGGATCCGGTCCTTACTTTCATGGAGAAGGAAAGCAAATAGATGCAAGTGAGTCAATCTCGACATCTATTTCTACATATAAATATATCTCTACTTATTTTTTAAGAAAGAGTCATTTGTTTGTTAAGCTGACGTTTCACTTGAGTGCTTTAGCGGTGTGATTTCGCAGATGAAAGAGTTCAATGTCACAATCTTTTGTGTTATTGTGTATAGGTATGCATTTGGGTTGTCAAGCAACAACGCGGGGCTGCTAATGCTTTTAAACAAGGGACCATGTGTGGGGCAGTGGAGGTGTCTTTCAAGCACTCAAGTTTGAAAACCCTCAGTTTGGGAACCGCAACCTACATACGTTCATCAATGCAAATGCAGGTCGGGTTAGCAGTGGGTTTAAAGCTGCTGATAATGCCAGGTTTAGGGTAGCTTTCTGGTGCCTATGAGTCATATTTTCTATTGGCTGGTGAGCAAAATTGGTTATTGTTGTGGCCTTTGCAGTTCTCTATGCCGGTGGAATTTCACTGAAAGGGGGCTGCCTCCTATATGGGCTATATAGGAGTTTCTTCTGTTGATACAATTTGTGTATGATTTTTTTCAGTAAAGCAACCTGTACACACTATTGAAATGAGAGAATGAACCAAATGTTAGGCCTAAATAATAATATTGTCATTTCATCCCTAAACTATTTATTTGGTGAGCCAAGCCTTTTAGCCGTTGACAAATACTCTATGAATGAATGTCCAAACTCCAAAGCCATCCATTCCCAATGCCGTTAATCCCGTTATATCCAAAGTCCAACTATACATGGACACATGGTTAAGGGAGTGTTTGCATTTGATTAAAAAAAAGTGTTTTTCAGCTTTTGGCTTAAAAAAAGTTAAAAAGAGTGTTTTCAAATGACAGCTTCTGCTTAAATTAATCACTTAAAAGCTAAAAGCTGGAAGCAGGTGGAAGGGTGCTTTAAACTGCTTTTCACTTTTTCTATTACACAAAAAGTAGTTCTTTTACCAAACACTACCAACTTTTACTTTTTCAGAATCACTTTTTCTTCAAACACTACCAACTTTTACTATTAATCACTTTTCCCAAAATCACTTTAAAAAATCACTTCTTTAAAGTTGAAGCAATTGCAAACACTCCCTAAGTGTAAAAAAGGTTCGTGTTTTGTATATATCGGACATGTTCGTGACTGTTTTTGTACCAAATCCCCATTGTGTTATACAAATTTTGTGCATTAACTCCTTATGATTTAAAAACACGTCAAATCCACATGTTTTACGATTAATAACAGCAAAACTATTTTCAAAAACAAATTTAACTATTTGGAATTCACGTGTTTAAATATTACTGTATTACTAAAAGTATAAATAAATTTGTCAGCATCTCAAAATTACTCCATATAATAATGCTAATCACTTTTAATCTCAGAATTTGAATTTTGTTCTTAGAGGGTTTTGAGCATAATTAATTAGTATAACACAAAAAGTTTTGACACACTTTTTAATGACGGGGTCTTAGACTCTTAGGACATGTTTACTTCACTGGTTATTAAACGGTGCTTATTAAGACCCGTGTTAATAAGCGGCGCATAAAATAAACAATGTTGTAAGACCGTGTTTACTTCAAACGGTTTAAAACACCGCTTAACATTAAAATGTCCAAAATAACCCTATACATATATATACACACAAACATTCATGAACACAAGTATAATATAATATGTGTACCCATACCCCTAACCCCTTACCCACCCTACCTTACCCCGACCCCACCCACCGCCTACCCCTACCCCCTACCCCTACCCTACCTACCTGACCCCACCCTACCTACCCGACCCCACCCTAACCTGTCCCCACCCTACCGCAACCCTACCCCCGACCCCATAGGCCCTTACCACATCGACCCCACCCCGACCCCACCTTACCCTACCTTACCCCAACCCTGCCCCTACCCCTACCCCACCACACCTACCCTGCCCCTAGCGCCTCTATCACATCGGCCCCACCCTGACCCCACCACCCTAGGTATAGTGGGGTAAGGGGTATAGGGTGGGGTGGGGTAGGTGGGGTGATTGAGGTCAGGTAGTGGTAGGGTGGGTCGGGTAGGTAGGGTAGGGGTGGGGTTGGGTAGGTAGGGTAGTGGTAGGGTGGGTTCGGGTAGGTAGGGTGGGGGTTGAGGTGGGGTAGGGGGTAGGGTAGGGGTGGGGTCGGGTATGTGGGTAAGGGGTGGGGTAGGTAGGGTAAGGGTAGGTGTGTGGTCGGGTAAGTAGGGTAGGGGTGGGATTGGGTAGGTAGGGTAGTGGTAGGGTGGGGTCGGGTAGGGGTAGGGGTAAGGTGGGGTCGGGTAGGGGTAGGGTAGGTGGGGTAAGGGTGGGGTGGGGTCGGGGTAGGTGGGGTTAGGGTAGGGGTGGGGGGGGTAGGTAGGGTGGGGTCGGGGTGGGGTAGGGTGGGGTCAGGGTAGGTGGGGTAAGGGTAGGGTGGGGTTGGGGTAGGTGGGGTTGGGGACGAGGTGGGGTAAGGATAACAATAGGTTAAGGGCAAGGGGTAAATTCGGAAACTGAAAAAGCTTAAAGTGCCGCTTAATTAATACATGGGGGGTGGTATGCTTAATAAGCGGCACTTTAAGCACCTCTTTCGGTTAGTAAGCGGCTTTTTAAGCAGTGTGCGTGTTTACTTCACCTGTCTTACTAACCTAACTGTGACTTTAGCAGTGAAGTAAACACCTCCTTAGAGTCGAGTATAATAATAATCCCGGAAAAGCACAAAAGTGGTTTTAACTTGTAAGTGTTTGTTTCACAATTCTCACAGAAAACATGATTAGTACAAATGTATTATTCCCTAATCCCTATGAAAATGTAAGGGTTAACGACACTAATATTACTATTCCGAAGCCCAATTCCACAAAAGCGAGTCTAATTAAAAAAGACATAAAAGTGACCTTTAATTCATAAAATTGGAAATAGTTCACGGCTCGTAACTTAAAGAACGGCAATTTGCCAACTACCATCCAATTCAATTTTAAAAACACACGTTGGCATATTACCTTACCCTTAGGCCTTAACAATGCTTAATAATGCACTCTATCACAATTCATTGTTTTTTAATTTAGCATTATTTTAAATTTTCAATGCACTCCGTAGCCATGCACTCTAAAATAAGTATAAAAAATAAAAAAATTGTTTTTTTAAAGAATAAAAATTCAGATATGAAAATTATGCGACAACTATTCGAGAGATCATCGTCCCATTTATTATTACCGATCCAATGTCACTATTTCAGTTACTATCACTCTAGTGACATTGTCTCTATTACTATCGTTCTAGTGACACCATCTCTTATTGCGACAAAATACAAGTTATGATTTCTTAGTGACCTTGGCGCCTCAGTGATATAGACGTCTGAACCCAACACCACCCATATCCTACCCAACCTCCCACATTACCCGCTTGGCCCACCGCTCTAAGAATGTGACTAGGAAGGTCATATTCATGTTATTGTTAGATTTTAATGTCACTAATACTATTCAATTTTATTGTCGCTATCACATGTCCTTGTTGCCACTGTTGGGTCACTGTAGCCGCCACACGTGTCACTGTAATCGCCGCCCGTGTCACTGTAGCTGCCGCTCGTGTCACTCTAGCCGCCGCCCGTGTCACTGTAGTCGCCGCCCGTGTCACTGTAGCAGTCACCCGTGTCACTGTATCCACCGCTCGTGTCACTGCCGTCACTGTCATAGTGACACCGCTATAGTGACATTGCCGCAGTGAAACTATCACAAATGTCACCGTCGCCGTGAAACTACCGCCCTTCCGGTGAGACAGGAGAGAAAAAACATTGACTATACAACACCTTTAGCCATCCCTTGCCGCCACCGGAGGCACCATCACCGGCATCGGCCGCCATGATGGAAACCTTGACCTCAATAATGACCTTTCCTAGCGCTCAGCCCTTGCAAAACCGCTGCCCCAAAACCACATCCCTGCAAAGCCTCATCCCACCACTACAACCAGACCATGTACTTGCCGCATCCCTCCACCACAACCAGTCCACCACCGCCCACCTCCTCATCCATCCCCCAGCCAGTTAGCCACTTCCCCATCCTCCAGCTCCCATCTCCAGCCCCCTGCTCTGTCCTCAGCCACCCTCCTCAACTTCAAATTTGACCAAACTCAACCCAGCCCTTGATTCACCCCTAGCCCCACTCCCTGTCCCAAGCCCTCCTCCCCCGCCCTTGTCCTCCCCTAGGCCATTCTCCGACCAGTTCGCCAAAAACCCTAACCATAACACCACCGCACCACCTTGTCGCACCCCACCAGCAGCAGCGCCCCAAATCGGAGTCATCCTCCATGGGGAATGGCGGATCCAGCACCGGCAACTCGAAGCCCATTGAGGAAGATAGATCTAGAATCGGAGGCCTCTATTCGGAGCCGTCATCCACCGGAGGTGCGACTAGTGAAGGCAAGAGGGAAACTAGTCGAAGCTGATGCGGAGGTGCAAGATCCTACCATCAGTGATGTTCGATTGCGACGGAGCTGCAAGTCGTGGGGCCGGGGGAGCAGCGATGTTCGATTCCGACGGAGCTGTAAGTCGTGGGAGAGCAGTGATGTTCAATAGCGACAGAACTGCAAGTCGTGGGGGAGCTCAACCTATGGTGGTTCAGTGATGAAGACGAAAGTGAGGTGCTGGAAAGCGGAAGAAGGCAATAGTGTTTTTGGGCAGTGAACGGGAGAGTGACGGGAGTGAACTGCAAGTCTCTTTTCTGGCTTTTCTAAAACTGGTCATATTCCCATCTAACAGAACTTGAGAAGTAATATCTATGCCATTATTTCAAAATGTAACTCGGTCATTTTAATCTAGGATTGCAAAACCGTCAATGTGGCTACTATTTAAGGAGTAAGGACGGAGACAGTAATATATAATTATTTTTTAAATCCTAAAACTAAAAACAAGGAGCTATAACAAACGTGTTATAAATTATAAATAAACCATTTGAATCACACAATTACAAATCAGATTAGCTGATTAGGCGTTACAAATTTAAGCCTGTACAAAAAAGTGGGTTAATATAGTTTGACAAAATGGGCTGTTTGACATAATGAGCCTAAATTTGACAAAAAAACCTGACGGGCACCTGACCATATATTGCATTACAAATCTAGCCCATAGAGAATATCATCACTACTGAAGGAATTCAAAAAAATGCTTTCTTCATTTTCATAGCAAATAGGAAATGGTGATTTTAAAGAGATGACAGAAATGCTTTGTAAGAAGTGCCGTCATACTTCAATCCCTTCAAGAAGGCTGACTGTAAATGAGACGAAACTGTTGTATTTGGAACACCGAAACAAAACATACTCTCTTTTGATTTGTCATCAGTAGAACCTTCAAGGATGGAACTTTCACCAATCACATCCTTGGAACCAATATTCAATCCAACCGACACTGGATCAGTTACAAAACTGCAAAATATATTTGAAGGAATTAGAATATAGATGTTATATTTCTTTTTAAAAAAATTACAACTGAACAAAACAAGCAATAAGATAACAGGTAACATCAGCTTTGAATGGTGTGTAGTGCATGGGTTAGGTTGTATTTGACTATTTGTTTAACCCAAAACCTTGAAAGTTTATAATGGTTTGGCTTGTGTGCAACCTAATCTAAAACAATGATCGTGTTTAGCCAAACCAAACTAAGCCAAATATTTGTGGATTGGTTCAGGCTTTGGACCTAGTGTCAAATATGTTAGTGGATAGGTTGGGTTCGTCTGGTCATTCCACACTAACCCTCCAACCGAATCAAAAGCAAATTTTTGAAGCTATGGTGGGAGAACATTCCTCTTTGAGGCTATGGTGGGAGAACCTTCCACTCTACAATTTGGATAGAGGGTTGTAGAGGAAAGGTTCACCCCATAAGTTAACAAGGTAATAATATATCAGCTTGAGTTAATAAAGTTCGACAATGATAATTGATAACTTACCTTGCCTCAAAACTTGTGCCATGTGAACAAACTGCATAGCAAATGCTGCTAATTATCCATGGTGGGAGATATCGATCCTTTACTTCCATGCTATAACAAATACCTGGAGAATGCCCTGGACTAGGTTCTCCGGCTCTAGCAGAATTCTTAGATGGGGGGATTGACATGTGATCAACCCTCCTTACTTCCTTACATCTTACCTGTAACAATTCGTATCAGATTCATCAGTCCTAACTTGATATTCAATAACACAACAGAGCTTGAATTAAAATGTTCACTACTATTATTAGCAGAAATAGTGTCCAAAATTCCGGGTATTCAGTTTGGCTCACAGGGTTTCAGCGGGTTCAGTTGCTGTTATTCAATTTCTTTAATCATACATGATAAGATTCATGATTCATATGGCAAGTGTAATATCAATCTGAATGGAAATTGAATTGAGATCGTTTTATAAAATCAATTTATCAGCTACCATATATTACAAAGGAGAACATATTATTGCATGTTAACATATTATACAAAACCTAAGAGAGAAAAATTGATTCAAGATAGTTACAGAAACTAACATTATACTAAGACCAACCTCAGGGGCAGACAGAGCTGAGTTCTCAAAAGGCAAAGGTGAGCACAACAAGGGGACATCCATTCCAGTCAAAGAAGTTAAGAAATATCTGTATAAAGAAACCATTGATGAGAGCAAGAAAAATGTACACTTTTACTAGAGACAGGGACTTGAATAAAAAAGAGGCATACCTATAGTTTAACAGAAAATCATACAATGCATGGACATTCTCGTTTCCGGAAAACGCCAATAGAGACTGAGGGCTGTTATCCACATGTGCTAAGGCATCTGGGTGAGTAGTCTGCACTCAAAATAATGGCAATCCCAGTTGCTCCATTTAATATTGAACCAATAAATACTTGTCATTGCATGCATATGCATGTACAAACAAGACACACATTATATGACTAATAATGGATTAGCAGAAATGAGAAGATATTGTAGTATAGATATTAGAATCAATACACCAGGTTCTCAACACACCTGAGAACTCAACCATTCTCGCAGCTAGATTTTTAGAGCTTAAGCAAGAAGCAAGTAACTAGGTAATTAAAGGAAGAATGCTTCCAATTTTCATACTCAGATTTTCAAATAGCTTCTATAAAAATATGATTAATCACTTTTCACCATTTGAGCAAGTTGTTCACTTTCTATACATGCCTCAGGCTTGGAAAGAGAATTATCTAACCAAGATAAGAAGCTTAACTTTTCATGTTTTCCATTACACTCCAAGGCTAATTTCTTAACTTTTCATGTTTTCTATTATACTCAAATGCTAATTTGAGTATGTTACATATGCATGCTGATGAGCTAGGTAAGTCATCCATATGATTGTGAAATTGCAACAGACACTTTGAACTGCCCACAGCTATGTATACTAAATTACCTTGCCAAGATTCTGCTTCTCAATCTCAGAAAGCTCAAATAAATCTTCCATACTAACTTCCTCTACTTTAGCATCACAAAGGGGCATAGAAAAACAGGCATCCTGAAAACATAAGAAAATCGAGATGAATACACGGTAAACAGAAAAGTATAGCTATTGCTGTCAACCTTCACTTCAAATTGTAAGCTAGACCTTACAAATTCCAATTTTTCTAGGAGGTAATTTATCCAACATTCCAACCAACCAAAACTTATCAGTTCATATGGGGTGTTTATGCCTTATAGTGTAACCCAATACACCAGGTTCTCAACACACCTGAGAACTCAACCATTCTCGCAATAAGAATTTTAGAACTTAAGCAAGAAGCAAGTAACTAGGTAACTAAAGGAAGAATGCTTCCAATTTTCATACTCAGATTTTATAATAGCTTCTATAAAAATATGATTAATCACTGTTGACCATTTAAGCAAGTTATTCACTTTCTACAAATGTCACGGGCTTGGAAAGAGAATTATCTTCCAGAAACGTGTCCTTTCCATAAACATGTACAGCTGAAATCCTTAAAAATATCAAACTTTTTTTTTTCATTTTCATTTACCCCAGTGCCGCAAAGGCTCCCACCTACGGTGGAGTAAGGGGGGGGGGGGTCAGATGTACGCAGTCTTACCCCTGTACTAAAGCACAGAGAGACTGTTTCTGGATGACCCGTAGTGAAAATCGCGTCCAAAATTGCATGGACTGACTGCTGCTTCATAACAAAGAAGCGCAGACAGTTCAGTGAGCCATTTTGCTTTATTCCATCATATTCTCAAGCCAAAAAATAATGAATCTTTGGCTCCATTGCAAATGATGGAAATCTTATAAATATCAAACTAACTAGCTTTTATTCAAAGTTCTCCCTTGTGGGTGTGTCAGTTTGTGTTGGGTGTCTAAAGAAAGAGAGACAGGAAAAGAGAGAGAGAAGTTGATAGATCATACATGTTTTTTGAGATGTGCCCTCAAAACCCTTGTTGACTGAGATATATAAGCATTGCAGACACGTTTATTTTCTTTCAAACTACCGCTACCAATAAACATGACAACAAACTGTGCAAAGCACACTGCACATCGAAAAGAAGATAAATGCATAAGTGTGCAGTCTTTTCCCAGGATATCCAAAAGAAGACAGCACATGCAGAAAGAGCCTCAGATGTGAGTGTCATACTGTCATACCGTCATACAAAATAAACTTATAAAAGAAAGGAGAATAGCTGATGCTTCAAAGTCAAACAAAATGTGCATTCATAATAATTCCAAGTTCATATAAACACTTCTCATTCTCCATGAGATATGGCATATAAGTCTATAACTACATAACTCAGATCCAAAGAGCTATTTTGAACTGATCAATTAGAGTAAAGAAGTAGAACCATTGCAACTTGCAAGTAGGAAAAGGACTTTATGTAAAATATAGCATTATAGCACAGGGGAAAATGCACACTGCAAAAGGAAGTATGATATGTGACACATCAGAACATTGGAAGTCAAATTTCATAATTTTCAGCAACATTAATTGGAAGAAAACACACTTATTATGTCTTGCAAATCACTACTGCATAAGCAAAAGAAAATACCATAGAAAATGTCACACTTGTTCTTGCGAAGAGTATAATACAGACTTCTGAATGAATCCTCCCATGCTTGTTGTCGTTTGCTCAAGAAGTCAATTTGACCTTAATGAATGAAAACCATGGCAGAATTTAAAACAATGCAATCAATATGAACAAAGAAAAGGGTATATACCAAAGAAGGCATTTTTTCAATCACCTTCCTGGGATGTAGATAATGTTAAAGCAGATATAACAGAAGGAGGCAATGGAAATTGTGGATACACCCATGAATGTAACACCAAAGAGTTCGAAGACCGAGTATTGGAGTTCAGTTCTGAAGCTGACATATTCGGACTTAAACAACCAGATGGGGCGTACTGTGACAAACTGTTGAACGATCCACTAGTTACCAACCTATGAAACCTAGAAGCATACACAAAATCATTTGTCAATATATACACAAACTACTGAAGATATACACAAATCTGTGTATTAACATCCCACATTCTTATTACAGGAGTGGAAAATGAACCAAAGATATCTGTATGTCCAGAACAGCTTATATATATTCAAGTGATTCTATTCATCATCAAATAATTTGAACATAATCTTCCAGATTTAGTTCTGTTCAAGACATCATCATGACAATAATTAGGGCACTCACCAACTGACGGAACTCGAGGCCACAAGTCGCATAGTAGTTTTGAGTGTCAAATCTAAAGGGGTCTTCTTGCAATGAACATGAAACTCAGAGCAGAAGTTTTTTGCTGCATGGCCGTCTATGGTTTTCGAGGACTCCGAACATGGATTTGATACAATAAGTGGCTCATGGGCAGCAAATCCTTTTAAGGCTTTATCCTACCATTACAAAATGGCCATGCGATATTATTTATGTTGGACAAATAGCTCAATAACAGTAACAGAGACGAAAGCAAGTTCAGGAGAGATACCATGTCCAGATTAGGCAGGCCAGATAGCTTTTCATTTCCTAATGAAAGTTCTGTGACATTGAGAAATGTACTTTCAGTACACTTGTCACTCTTTGTATATGTTTGGGTAGTTTTAGCCCTGCAATGATGAGAGTGAAATTTAGAGGGTTGCAATAATATTGTATCATAAACCATGGAATTAGTATTAACAAAATAGCATATTGTTTAAATTTACTTGGGAATAGGCAATTGGCTCTCAGCGCGCAATTTTGAATAACCAGCTGAACTGCCATGATCACTGTTCTTTGGTGGGGAAAATTCCTGCCAGTAAATAGACAAATCAAATTCCTTCAGTATTTACTCAATGACATTATTTCCATCATTTGTAATGGAGCCAAAGACTCACTATTTTTTGGCTTGGGAATATGATGGAATAAAGCAAAATGGCTCACTAAACTGTCTACGCTTCTTTATTATGCAGCAGTAGTCAGTGCATGCAATTTTTTACGCGAATTTCACTATGGGTCATCCGGAAACAGTCTCTCTGTGCTTTAGTACAGGGGTAAGACTGCGTACATCCGACCCCCCTTACCCCATCGTAGATGATGATGGGGTAATGATGATGATGATTTACTCAATGAAATTAGACACTTCAATAGAATGTCATAATACAAGTATAAAACCAACACCAAACATTTTCTAGAACTTGCTGATCATCAACTTTAAATTTGTCTACTTAGCTTTATAATTTTTAGGAAAATAGTGGCATGTCAAATACTACAAATGAGATTCATAACATGAATTTGGGAAAATAGAAACTTATGAAGCAATCAAAAGGTAGGGTAAAACCTTTGTATCATCTTTTCTGGAGATCGACCTCAGCTTAATGTTGTTCTTCTTAACAGGGTATAACTCGTTCATCTTCGTGTTAATATATCTTGGATTTTTTGGTAGATTTGCTTTCTTGGATCCAGGAATGACCCAATCAGTTTTCCTACAAACAGCATACAAATGTCACAGTAGTATTATACATGTAGTACAAACTACATTTTGGTATATGACATACCTAGCACAGTCGATAACTGAATCTGGAGATTCATCTATGTGTTCCTCAATAGTCTTTCGCTTCAGCTGCTCACCCTGTCAAGTAGGCATAACCTATGAGGCATTTCTCATGTTCCAAATTGTCATCCTTCTTCACCATTCAGTAAAAGTTATATGGTGAAGAGCAAATAAAAGGTCGGCAATTATGGGGAAAAGATAGTATTTTTCATGACCACACTAACTAATCATTTATATCAAATTTGTCCACCTCATTAAACAAGGCTAAGCTATGGGTTTGATGCTACATTTACCCACTTCATTCAAAGAACAACAGTTTTAGATAAGTCAATGCATATAGATATGCTCCATGCCAATTAAAAATAAAAAATTGAGACATTTACTGAACAGTGAGAATGGAAATGAAAATGCCAGTGTAGTATATCAGATAGAATTATAGAAATGAAAGAACTCTTCAAAGCTCGTTATTTTCTTTTCTGCTACGTATTATTTGATTGAGGCAGAATCTAGTCATACCCGTAGCTCGGATGGAGTTTTCCTTTTCAAGGTGGTCGTGGTAACATTAGAACCACCTCCATCACCGGTGCCAAAACCAAGAGAACCCAACGGCCGAGCAGGAGCAACCATCATTCTCCAGTATTTCTCAATAAGTAAATAAATATCTCCACGGCCTCAAACCTCCACCTGGCCCCCTCCCTTCTCTATGCAAGATGCCAATTACAGACTACACAAAGATAGATTACAATGACCGATTAGAAAAGTGACGAAATGAGATTTACTTAGGTCTCATTTCACTTCTTGCAACACTAACTTCGATTTCGATCGAAGACGTAGAAAATCATAGAGCCATGTTACAGTTTGAAACCCTAGAAACAGAATGGGTTGGATGGGGTTGAGAACTGAAGAGCGGGATTGAAGATGCGTAAGTGGGAGAATTTTTGGGATTTCAAAGAATTCAATTTCCCTCGCAACTGCTGCAGGTCTGCTTCGGTCGGATCATTTTCGCCCCGATTTCCCTCCTGGCAGTGACAATACTGAAATTTTGAGATTCCTTTGGGGTATTTTTAAAAAGGAAAATTACTTTAACTAAAACTAAAATATAATCCCGATTTCCCTCCTTACAGTAAAATATTGAAATTACGGAATTCCCTTGGGGTCTTTTTAACAGAGAAAATTACTTTAATTGAGACTAAAATATAATCCTCATTTCCTAAAATAATAACGAAAATATTGTGTGATAAAAGTTTGTACAGTGATAAAAAAATAACAAAAGTCACAAATTGATCGATTCGAAGAAGTGAAAGTGATAAAATGTTTTGAACAAATATAAAAGAAAAGTTAACAAAATTATTTAAAAATTACATCTTATTCTTATATGTAGTTTGACTTTGCATACCATTTTTGGGTGATTCTTATTTTGCACCTCATTTTCAAAATCATTAACGGGTGCAAATTAAAGTCTAACATAGCCCAAAAATGGAAATTCAAATTCTTCTTTTTAAAATATAATCACATTCGCCCAAGTTTAGTCTAATTCAATCTATTCAAGTGTGGTCTAACAAGATTTTGTATCGTGTGTATTCGTCTCTTACAACTCTGCAACTTCCTATATTGGCTGACTTATTAACTTTATCACTTTCTCTTTCAAAAATATAAGTTATGGACCTTATGGTTGTTATTAACCTTACATTTTTTCTATATTAGGGCATCCTCATCCACGAGTGTATTTGAAGATTAATTGGATGACTTGTAAGATTATTTTAAAGATTATCATTGTGAGTTAGAGATTATTCAGTGAGATTATTGAAAAAGAAAATCCGGTATCAAGATTTCAATCTCAGATTATTTTAGATTGTAGTTAAATTACATTTAATGCATGTCCGAAAAAACAGATTATTTGAGTATTATTGTTGATGAAGAATTTTAAACTTTGAGATTATTTGAAATTTATTAAATAAATGTGATGTGACAATGATGTGTAATAAAAAAAATCGTTTATTTAGAGAACATGAATGGAGATGCTCTTATTATACGGAAAAAAATTCCTTTTTTGATCCCATTACTATTATGTCACTTCCACATTTCTCCCTTGACTTTCATTTTAACCACATTTAGTTCGTGACCTTTTCCCCTACACCACCCGTCACACTCCGACCACAACTCCGTACATTTTAACCAGAAAGCCATTCACGGAGAAATAGTAAGTCAAAATGTTAAAGTTAAGTTATCAAAATGTACGCATTAAGTCAAGTTAGTTTAGAAGATAGCCATTTTAATAACATACATTTACTGAAATGCCCAGAATATTTCTCCGTAAATGGCTTTCCGGTTAAAATGTGTTGGAGTTGTGGTCGGAAGGACGACGGGTGGTGAAGGGGAAAAGGTCACAGACTAAATGTGGTTAAAATGAAAGTCAAGTTAAGGGAGAAATGTTGAAGTGGCATAATAGTCATGGGACCAAAAGTGGGCTTATTATACGTGCCAGTGAACTTTGATAAAATTGTAAGGAACGAGAGAGTATTGATCAAATCTTATTTTTAAGGATAATCGAGTTTGATATGTTAAGTTCAGTCTGATTTGTGAGCGAAATCAACCTAAATGAAAACACACCTTAAATTAGGAACTTTTGCCGAAGAGTTGTAGTGAAAGAGATGAAATAGGGCTCATATGCATCTATGACGGTAATTGAATCTACGGTGATAAAGGGAAAAAAGCCGCCAACTCGGAAAATAGTAAAGTTAAATATCTTATTAAACTTATATAGAATAAATTTATGTTGTGTGATTAAATTGAAACTTAATTAATACTTCCTCAGTTATTAAACAAATGTACAAGATCCATTCTAGAATATGGCATATGTCCTAATCTACAATGTCAAAGTGCATATTGTTACTTGAAGACAAATGAGCTTGACTTTTATTAGAAGAAATGAAACTATTTTTTGGAAGAAGCTTGAGAGATTGTATGAGGACCAACGTAATACAGACTAGCATGTTCATCAAATGGTCCTGTATGAAACGATGGGTGGCGGTGAAAGTTTGGAACATGCAAAACACCATGTAAGAGTCGTAAGACTATGTTATGTGTAAGTTGAATTGTGCCTGTGTTCATGACTGAAACTTTATGATCATTTGGGCTAGTGATATGATAGGCCTTTTTAATGGGTTGATATGTCAAGAAATTGGAAAGGTGTGGTGTAATGTGGTCATTAGCACCGTTATCAATGATCCAAGTATTTATATGAAGAAAGAAAGCAAAACTTACCTGCTGAAGGAGCAGCACTGGAACTTTGAGTGGGGTTATCATCAACATTCTGCTTGCTCAATAATGATATCATTTGCTGATAGAGCTCGAGTGTGAGCATTCCAAACTTCTGAACTGACTTGAGCAACAACTCTCTTATCTTTGAAATTCCTCTTCAGTTCTGGATGTAACCTGAAACACCTTTCCATAGAATGCCTTTGCATTTTACAGTGGTCACGGAAATACATCATTCTCCTATTGTAACTAGCATTATTTTGAACAGAATTTCCATTCCGAGAACTGTTATAACATGTACCATAACTATAACCTCTGTCATACGCCTTATTTGCAGCAAAAGTCATGTTTTCAGAATTCAACTTTCCTTCATCAGAGAACTCTCTTTGAGTTCCATCCTGAGTGATGATGTTGTAAGCAGCAGTGACATCAGGTAATGGGTCCAACATTAACACATTTCCTCTAATAGTTTTGTACACAATGCTTAAAACCATCAAGAATTTCAGTAATCCATGTTTCTTTATCATTTCAGAAATTACATAATTCACATTGCTAGAGCACAATCCACATCTGCAATGAGGCATTTTAACAACACAATCATAGGCATCCCATAATCCTTTCAGTTTGGTGTAATAGACAGGAACATATAAAGTCCCTTGTTCTAACCCGCTTAACTCTTTCTCTATTTGAAGAATTTTAGGTCCATTGCTTTGGTTGAACCTATTATTGAGTTCTTTCTAGACATCTGCAACAATATTACAATACAAAACGCTAAAAGAAATGGATTCTTCACAGAAATTAAGCTGCCAAGCAATTACCGTTTTATCACAACGTTCCCACTATATGGCCATTGTTGCATCAGAACCAGGTTTCTTGCAACTTCCGTTAACAAATCCAAGTTTGTTCCTGGCGATAAAAGAAATACAAATTGATCCCTCCCAAGCTTCGTAGTCCTGTCCATCCAATTTCCTTGTCGACAGTAGAAAACTTGGATGATCGGTTTGCCCCAAATATAGTTCGTGATTGAAATCAATGGAGTCGATCGTCATTGATGAAATTAGGCATTTGATTAAAATTTGGTGAAGAGACTAACCATGCTTTGATACCATGACAATCAAATGAATATGGAAAGAATATGGAAGAGAAATAGCATGAATTCAATCATAAAATCACATAGAACTCGATGAAGAAGAAAAAGAAGAAACTGATATTGAATTCTTGAGGAACATTGTTATTACAGAGAGCATTGATCGTACATCCTTCAGTCTATTAAGAAGTCTATTTATATACAATGTTTATTCATATCTAGTTAAGCCAGTTGGTAGTCTACCAAACTTGTAACGGACTAGTTCTAACAAACTATTTATTGGTAATGCTAATAATAATATTACCAAGCTTGACCGGCGCGGAAAATAACAAAATAAAAATTGTTTAGTTGATGTTTGTGTATGTGGAGGAGAGAGAAATAATAAGTACCACAACTTGATTGCTTGAAAGGGAAAGTGACAACATTTGTAGAATGATACTAAAAAATTATTATTTTTGATAAAAAAGGAAAAATGACAAAGTTATAAGAGACAAGGGAGTACAAGTTAAATGATTAATAATTAATTAGTGCGTTTGACGGGTGGAAGTAATCAATGTGATCCACTTCCCAAACTTAAGATTCCCGCTTGTGGGGGTATTTTGTTCATGTGATCGAGGAGGAGAATTGAAGAGGCTTTTCTCGAATGATGTCCTCTAGCTTTTGAGTTAGCTCGAGTGATTGCACAATCACTATTTCGTCTTGTCTCAAGTGGCAAGGTCAAGAACTCGAAGGCACGCACATTTTATGAGTGAAGAGTGATTTCGTGTACACGGTAATGCATAAATAATGAATTTACTCTATGTAAGAGTTTGATGAATTTTTGGAAGTTCAAGATTAATAGAAGAAATAGAAAGCACACACCACTTCATGTGCCACGTGTATAGTTAAACTTTCCATTTCCAATACACGGAGTATATGTTGAATGTTAAAAGTATTATGCACATGTGCAAATATCTCTTAATCCCTTCACCTTTGCTCCATTTCAGCAAACCCAGACCTCTCATCCATCGATCTCCCACACATGCGTATGATTTCATTTTTTTTGCTATCCATCTCATAGGCGAATGAATCAGGAATGCATTTCTTGCGAATTGTGTTGATTGTCGTGGAAGGATGAAGTTGCTGGATAAGGCAGTTGAACGATAATAATGGTACATCTACATCAATTTTCCATTACATTTAATTTCGTTTTGAATTTTGGTTTAAAATTCTCCTCACAGTTTTTTCCTTCAAAATTGGAAATAAAGAACACTAAAAGACATCCAATTTAGAGATTATTTCTCCAATTTATTCTTCTATGTGATCTATTTTGTTTTCAATTCTTCTTACCTTTCAAATCATCTCAAATTTTCAAAGGTTATGAACCTATGCCGACCTTGATTTTGCTCCCTAATGTTCATCGCCAATGTCACCCTACTTGTTTTTTGGGAATTCCTTGCATGAAAAATATCCTAATTTTTTGGTTTCTTTTATGACAAATAAAAGCTATAAGTTGTTAATGGTTTTTGAAAAATATTTAGAAAGATCAATTTGGTTCATGATTGTATGATCAAGTTCCTATGCAAATTCTATGTTCATTGCTAATGTCACCTTATTTACATTAGATCCACTGATGTGTTTTATTATTTTATGTAGATTTTACATACGTAGTATTAGTTTCATGGTTGGCCATTTGGTTGACTCTCTAATTTGTTGCTGAAGGATGAAGTTG